GGTCTATTTCTTGCTATTTCATGGGCCAAATCATGTCTCTTGAAGCTCCACCAAACAACCCACCCGCCCAAGTGCCCACTCTTGCTTGTGCCGAATCTTTGTGGCTTATATTTGTTCTTCGTGAACTTTGGTATCACGTGTCTACTTCAAGTTTATTGTTTTGTGATAACTACCTCTTACTGTTGGGTTACGGTTCAAAGTTAGGATGATGCAAAATTTAGGTTTGTGTTGCTTGTTTTTTTTTGACGTCCTAATTGGGTTTGGATTTGATATTTTGGTTGGATTTCTTACCTGGTTGAGAGATTGTGTTAATTACCTATTTGATTACGATTTAGATTTACTTCCAATTAGGATTAGTATTCTCATTGTAACCTAAGTCCTATGCATTATAAATAGGGTCTCAGGTTTAGTGTATTTTGTGTGCCTCACCATTAGTTTAGAGAGTTTTCTCTAGTTCAGTTTTGGATCGAGATCACCGTTTGGAATCATGAGTGGAAAATTCATGGCTCATTCGTTTGGTAATTCGGTGAGAATCAATTTGTGAGTTAGAGAACAATTTGAGAGAATCTTCTCCATTTGTTGAGTTCTCTACTTGTTTGGTTTAGGGCTGTAATTTGTAGGATTTGAGTTGTGAGAGTTAAAACTCTTTTGTAACCTCTGTTTGTTTAGTGAAATTCCTCACCATGCTTCGCCCGTGGACATAGACTTTGAGCCAAACCACGTTAAATCTCATGTTCAGATTTTAAGATTGTTTGCTTTAGCTTTTGCGTCACGTTGATATTTGGTACTTCGTTAGAATTCGCTTCCCTCTGTGCATAAAAGTAAAACACTTACATGGCCGGCAATTCGGTGTTTCATAATCGGACTAAGAATTAAGACTATATGTCACTCTACTAATTTACATGGCGGGAATCAAAAAAAAAAAAAAAAGCAGGTAGTTTAGCCACGACAGTCTACCCTATCAGTGGCTGAAAAGACTCACAAAAACATTTCAGCCTCTTCCTGACCATTATCATATGATTCATCAGTGGCATGAATCGAACCCAGGACATGTTATGTGGAATACAAGCTTGTAATTACTGTTCCACCTTGTGATGGTTGGAGGGAATCCCTTGAGTTAGCATAATTCTTTTAAGTAAGGGAATTTGACGCTCGTTTATTATCCCCCGAGCCCCGAATAAATCTAATGGAAACAACAAACTTGAATAAACAAGAATGAATAAGAAGCTAAAAAAATGTGTTTTATCAATTCTCATCGGTTAATTACAACAATGTTCACAAAATCTGTCACCCAGCCTCGTTTCCGTCTCTAAGCTTTCTTTTTAGATGTGACTAAATCTGGCGAGGTGATGTGATGTAAAGTGGGCATATTCATATGCATTTCCCCTTTTTTTCTGGTTGTGCATATCCATTTCTTCCACATCCCTCACCACCCTTTCTTCCCATTCTTCATACAATTCTCTCTTGTATTTTCCCTCTATCTCCTCCCCCCCCCCCCAACAAAAAAAAAAAAAAAAAAAACTGATAGCGAAATAGGCATTAAAAGGGCACTGAGTTTTTATAAATCAAGTCTAAAAACAAAATAATATATCTTGAAACTAAAAAGGATACGAATATCAAAGGGTCAGCTTTTATTGATTGAACTTTCAAACATACAACAAAAACATGATTTGAAGTTAAGATAGAGCAGGATCACCATATTTCACTAGGATGTCCCTGTGCTAGAACACTATACTACACAAGTACAGCATGGTTATTTATCTAGAAATTTAGAAGCTTACACCTTTTGCTACTTTATCATTGTTCTTTGTCATTACATATCGAGTTGTAAGCGTTGTTACTCCGCCTTCTTCACAATCTCTTCCAGTGCTTCCCACAATTTTGGGTCATCAAAATCTTTAATAACAAAGGAGGCTCCGGCATTAATCAATGCTTCCTCGGGGTTCCTTGTGCCTAAACCCACTACCGGCATTCCGGCTGCTACTCCAGTTTTCACTCACGAACCAGAATCCTTGACAACCAAAAGTAGAACAGAGATGAGTGCAATGTATGTCAAAATTTTACTGAAGATCGAATGCTATTGTTAATTGCACAACACAAAGTTCTGAGAGACAAACCTCAAAGATGAAAGCATGCTCATTTGACAGGTTAAGCTTTTCAAGAACCTCCAAGTAAGGATCAAGAAATGGTTTTGCTCGTACACATTCCTCTCCAAGAACAACAATTTCAAAGAAATCCGTGAGCTTCAACTTTGATAATATTAGCTCGGCATTTAGTTTTGGAGCATTTGTTACTGCAGCCCATCTCAAGCCTTGTTTTTCAATCCATTGGCGCAACCTAGGTAGGCCCTTAAGAGGTTCTATCTTTTCAGATATCAATCTGCAACATCACACTCGGTAAATCAAGTTGAGACAAGAGATAAGGTCCTTTATAATTGAAAGAGATAGTTCCACAACTTGATACAGAAATAGAATTCCCTATTAGTCAAGGAAGATTGTAGTTGATACAGTTTAAGATAACCTTCCATCCACAGAAGAAGTCTAACTAATAATACCAATGTGTTATATACCCGAAATGTATTTGATATCAAGCATGCAGTTTCTTGACAGATTTTTGAAGTTATCTTCGGAACATGGCTTCCTTATCTACCAAAAACTGTCTTGCTCTTTCGATATCCCAATCAGGAAAGAGGATACTACAAAGATACTCATTATGTCCTCCAGTTATCTTCTCACTGAAGAATTCCTCAGTGATAGGTACCCTACCATTAAACCTACCTGTGGTACACCAAAGCGTGAGCTCGAGAAAAATGTTGTGTTTGTGCATATGTGTGTGTGTGTGTGTGAGAGAGAGAGAGTGTGTGTGTGTGTGTGAGTTGGAGAAAAATGCTGTGTTTCTGCTGTCCTTGGTTGGAGTGAGAAAATGTTTAGGTACTTTATAGTTTTGAATTTGTAGTTAGGAAGATTTAACAATACCTTTTTTTGTTTGCTTTACTTTGTTACGTCTTGATAAATGCATGTTCAGCAACATGTTGCTGAAACTATCACTCATATAGCCTCCACTGCAAAATAGTAGTACTTTTGGTATGCTTTCTGTGTCTCCTTCAATGTTTCTATTTTGTGGATGTACATATAGATGTCAACCCTAGCATGTAATGGTGTTGTTCACTTTGGTAGGTATATGTGAACGGCTTGCAGACATCAAACTAGGGCTGGGCAAACGGGTCCTGGGCCCGCGGGTAAAGGCGGGTATAGGAGGTTCGGGGCGGGTACGGGGCGGGTCCTGTTTTTAAATAGGGGAAACGGGGCGGGCCTAGGTAATGGCATTCTAGGGTCCGGCCAGTTCCAGATTTATAGAAAAACGGGGCCCCGAACCGGCTCGTTTGTAATTGAAATGGAAGGCCCAGATTGAAAATAAACATACCTTCCAATCATGATCTTTGGTTTTTACCCTAATTGAATATGATTCGATGAGATGTGAGAGTCTTTGTTCTCTCTCTCTCTCGACCTCGACCTCTCTGTCTCTGAAGTCCGACATCTCATCCCCGATTTTCTTCTTGATTGTTCTCCTCGACCTCTCCGTCTCTGAAGTCCAACCTCGACCTTGATCTTCTTCTTGATTGTTCTCCTCGACATCTCATCCTAGACCCAGGCACCCGCACCACCCATCTTCTTGATTTTTGTTCTCTTTTTCCCGACGACATCACCGCCGTCGCGATCACCAACACTCCATCGCCGTTGCCAGTTCAGGTGAATTCTTTAACCTCTTTTTTTTTTTTTAATAGGTTCTTTAACCTCTGATGTATGTAATCTGTGCTCAATATATTGGGATGTTCATGTTTGTTCTTGCTGATTTGGTGGATTTTCTGACTTTTTAGCTTGTTTTCACATCCAAATGTTGAGTAGAAGTCCTTGTATTTCACATATATTCTAAAGAATCTGAAGTATTTCCAAGCATATTGATTTGCAATCTGGAGACATCCATTCTATTTCTGTTCATTTTTTTCAATTTTTAATTTATTTTCATTGCCATATTTGTTAAACGTTTCAAATTAGGATCTGAGAAGCATATAACAGAGGTAAATCGCAAAGAAATCTGGTGCACTAAGGCCTGAGGGTGACTTCTGGGATTGAAGGACTATCTCTGCTAAAGACAACAAAGGTAATCTTATCCAATCAAATTTATATCTAGGTTTTAAAAGTTGAAGGTGTAATGTGACAATGGATATCATAATCCAGCCCTTGACATCAGGGCAAAATCTAGGTTTTAAAAGTTGAAGGTCTATGTTATCCCTCTTTGATTGTAACTGTCCCTTGAATATATACTTCAGCCCCTGACATCAGGGCAAACTCTTCCGACTGTTAAGTCATTGAGATTCCTAACTTAAGTCTTAACCGGAAGGAAACACAGATGCATCTGAAAAATCTTGAAGCTTCTCGATGCTCATAAGCTAACGGATAAGAGCGATGTGTAACTGTGTATGGCCTCAATGTGGTGTTTTTGGAGCTCTTGACAGGGATGCAGCCAATTACAAATTGTGTTTTGGATAACTATATATGTGAACCATCTTCTATGCTTTGCATGTGAGAATATAACTTCTTTGTCAAGTTAACATCCCTTATTGTTAACGCTATTTAATCCCTGTAACCGACTAGCTGCACTGGTTTTTGTGTTATTTACAAGTTTTCCTGCACTTCAGGTAAACATTACATTCCAATGTAATGTTTTGGCAACAGACAAAATGTAATATATTTCATGTACTTACTGATTATGTAATATGCTTCCAATCTCTCATATCTAATGATCTCTTATGTCTTGGTTTGTGTTCAAGCTTTGAGGTAGCCTAGCATCCAATCGCCTTTGGTTGAGCAAAGCCTAGTCCAAATACATATTTCTCAAATACCTGAGCATACCTCATCGGTTTCGATAAGCTCTAAAGCTTATTTGTTTTAGATCCTTTTTATTATGTTTCGAATGTGCCTTATTTGTTTAAATTATGTATAATGAACTTAAACATGAATAGCTCCTCAATGTAGTTTCCAAACTACGAAAGCAAGAGAATTTAGGATTAAAAATAATTCTACTGTTATACCAAAGTGCAATCCGACTACTCAAATGAAGATATCAAAGTGATTAACTAACATGGCCTTGGGGTTTGAGATATCAAGAAAGTCCTTGGTGTGGGGCTGCAACTTCACCCATGTTCCCTTTACGAGACTTTTGTTTTTCACTTGACATATGTCCCCCTCTTGAAGAAGCATGTTTTGCATCATCTACAAAAAGAAAGCACATAAATGACTAAGAAGTAACACCATATCTGGAATGCTACTGCAACAAATTCCAAGGAAAGATGTGTACCCACCCAGTATGGTAAATATATTAGGCCCTCATCAGCAACAAATTCCAAAACCCCACAATGAGTTGGAATCGCTATCACTATTCAAGGTTGCTAAAATAAACAAAAATACAAACTAAACTGCCAGCACAATCAAGTCATCAACTTTGTTCTCAAATCCAATTTTACCTTGTACTTTTTGTTTAAGGGTGGAATTCTCGGGGCATTAGACTTAATGTGTAGATTATTTGCTATCAATCAGAAAGCAACCAATCCCAGAGAGTGATTGTTTCCCATCCCAAATAGTAATTATTTGCTATTTTATTTACATGGAGATTATGCTTTTTTGGGTTTAAATTATTTATAATGTGTAGATTATGCTTACATGGAGATTATGCTATTTTATTTGTTTAATGAATATAGTTCCATTATTTAATTTTTACAGATTTTTACATAATGTCTCAATCTCAAAGTCAAAGTACCCCTAGTAGTACTAATGTAGCATCATCTACGGCTACATCACCATGTCCTCCACAACCAACACAAGCACAACCCACACAGTCAAAACCATCAATGCCTCCCCCAAACCCCTCATCCTCCAGAAAAAGAAAAGCACCACCTATTCCAAAGACAAAACAACCAACTATAATAGCTTCACTAGAGAGATCTTCTTCTGAGAGATCTTGGGTTTGGGATCATGTCACTAAGTGTACCGTCTCGGAAATACAAGAAGTAGAAAAGGATGGAAAGAAAGAGAAGGTGGAACTAGTACTTACTTTAAACATATCAATAAACATTGCAAGTCATATAAACCAACTGATGAGTTGCAAAAGGTTCTAGGCAGTTCTGGACCTTCTGGGGATGTCAAAAACATGCTTTTTGCTAAAGGTTGGGGCCAAGAAGAAAGTGTGGAAGGTATTATTGAGTTTATTGTGATCGAGGAGGTACCTTTTAGTATTGTGAAGAGTGAAGGGTTTAGGCAGATGATGTGCAAAGTCCAGCCTAGATTGCATGTTCCATCTCGGAGAACTATCGTGAAGGAGTTATTCAGTATGTATCATAGCATGAAAGATCAGTTAAAAAAAGAGATACACAATTATAGAGTGAGCTTGACTACTGATACATGGACAAGTGTGCAAAATTTGAACTACATGGTGCTAACTGCTCATTTTGTGGTTGATGATTGGAATATGCACAAAAGGATTCTAAACTTTTGTTTGATTTCAAGTCATGAAGGCAAAGAAATAGGGAAGATGGTTGAGCAATGTTTGGTTGAGTGGAGGATTGAAAAGGTAATGTGCATTTCAGTTGACAATGCATCGGCTAATAAGGTGGCAATTGAGTATGTTGTTCGTAAAATGCAGAAATGACCTAATAGTAAAATGATTATGAATGGCAAGTTTATGCATGTGAGGTGCTTAACTCATATTATCAACTTGGTAGTGAAACATGGGTTGAAAAGATTAGATACAAATGTGGATGCTCTTAGAAATGCCGTGCGGTTTGTGAGATCAAGTCCCTGAAGGTTAAGTTATTTCAAGAAATGTGTTGAGAATGAGAAGTTGGATAATAGGGGTCTAGTTGTTATGGATGTGCCTACTAGGTGGAATAGCACATACATGATGCTAGAATCTTGCTTGAAGTTTAAAAAAGCATTTGAAAGGATGATCGAAGATGATGAAGCCAATATATACACCACCTATTTCAGTGAAAAGGTGTTTAATGATGAAGGAGAAGAAGTGGTGGGTAAAGGGAAGGTTGGACCACCTAAGGAGGAAGATTGAGATAATGCCGAAGTGTTTGTGAAATTTTTGAAGGTCTTCTATCTTGTAACTTTGAAAGTTAGTGCAAGTAAATATCCCACATCTAATACAGCTGTTCATGATGTCATGGCTGTGGAAAACGAGATTGAAAAACTTTTTTTGCCTGAATATATGCAAATTGGAAAACCTGCAAAGTTGGTGCTACGTGATATGGCATTCAACATGAGAGCCAAATATCGAAAGTATTTTGGTTCAATTGAGTCCCTTAATCAAATATTTGTAATTGCCCTTGTCTTAGACCCAAGGTTCAAATTAAGGCACTACATGCACTTGTGTAGAAAGCAATTACAACTTCTTGAAGAAGAGATTAAACAAAAAAGTAATCAAGTGAAGACATTGTTGAAGACAATATGTGATGAATATGCTAGTCAAGCTTTCGATTCACAAACACAACAAAAGGGTAGAGAAGATTTAGTTCTTAACACTTCTTCTTCAAGGGTAAAACAATCATCTTCTAGTGTGCCAACAGAAAATCCAATGATATTTAGTCAAATCATGGATGATTGGGAAAAGGAACTAGAAGACACCGGGGATATTGCGCTTGCACATGAGATGGATAGGTATCTCCTTGACACTGTAGAGAAAGTACCACATGGTTCACAATTTGACGTTTTGAAATGGTGAAAGTTGAAAGGGAGGAGCACATATCCCACACTTGCTTTGATAGCGAAAGATGTCTTGCCAATTCAAGTGTCAACAGTTGCCAGTGAGAATGCATTTAGTGGAGGAAAGAGAGTAATTGACCCTTGTAGATCATGTCTCCTTCCTCAAACAGTGGAGTCATTGATGTGCCTTCAAAATTAGATAAGAAGTGAACCAATTGGCAGCATTAAGTATGAAGCAAGTCCTGCAGAGCTTGAATTTTATCAAGAGTGAAGAAGGTAAATTATCTTGTTTTTTATAGTTTGGTTTATAACTTTATATTAATTGGTTTACAATTAACGTTTGTTCTTTGTTGTAGAATATAAAAGAAAAAGAGCAAATACTATATCTATAAGTTCAACCATCTCATCATCAAGTGTTCCTGAAATTGAGGCAACTCGAACGAATAAAGGAAAAGGAATTGCGATAATATTTTAAACTCAAATGAATAAACTTTAAATTTCAATAATTCAATTTGAATGAGGATAGATAATATGATGTTAGACGTTAAAAATGTCATGTTTATATTCTATTTTTGCTTACAGATTCAATGAAGATTGTTGTTGGAACTTGGATGTGGTTTTGGATGTTAATTTGAAATTTATTGTGGATGTCATGTTTATGTTGTTTTGGATTATTTGATTCTTGGAATTTGGATGTCTTGGATTTTCGGATATTTTGTATGTTGATTTGATTTTTAGACGTTGGAAGATGTAATATTATTATTTTGGATGTATTGTTAATCTATGAATTTGGATGTTGGACTTTGTATTTAGATTGGATGTGAATAATGGTGAATTTGTGCAAAATCTGCATAAATGCAGTATGTGAATTTTTGTAGTTGCAATCTGTGCAAATCTGTGCAGTTTGCATTCTGTGCAGTTTTGTGCAGATTGCAATCTGTGCAGTTTTACAATCTGTGCAATTTTGTGCAGTTTGCAATCTGTGCATTTTTGTGCAGATTGCAATTTGTGCAAAATTCAATCTGTGCAGTTTGCAATCCGTACAACTCTTTTTTTTACTTTTTATTTTAAACAACCAAAAAAAAAAAAAAAGGGACCCGTGGACCCGGCTCGAACCGGCCCGTTTCAACCGGGCTGGGTAATGTCCGGTTCTTATATTAGAAAATGTAATCCCCAGCCCGGCCCGCCCTGTTCCCTTTGAACCTATGTCCGGTCCGGTCCCTTCAAAATTGGGCCCGGCCCGGCCCGTGCCCAACCCTATATCAAACCTAGACAAATGCGATGAAGTGCCTTACGGCTTTTTCCTAATCCGTAGGTCCACGATTTGTTTTTGAAAGTGGAAGTTCTGGTGTGATATTTTTAATTCTCATCATCTTCAGTGCAAAAGTTTGTGTGCAAGTTTTTTGTTAGTTTTATTTTTCTGTATGCATTATGTCTATCCTGAGCCAAAGGTTGCTAATTTGTTATTGATGAGTGTGTGCTGCTTGGTCTCCAATGATTGTTTATATTTACCAAGGGTATAATGAGAGGAACTCCCACAACTAGGACTTGCAGCCATGTTTCGATTTGCAACTATGTTTCCCTTTAGCAATAGGGATGGGATGCATGAGATGCAGCAATTGGAAACATGGCTGCAAGTCCCAGGTGTGGGAGTTCCACCCAAAGACCAGAACACTAGAAGAGGTTCAGCAAATTCAAGATGCCCACAAGGATTTCTGAAACAACCATTTCGAATATTTCCTATTGAAATTAACTTTGGAATGTAGTGCTGCTCTGCATTTGTAATAGGTGAAGAAAACTGACGAGTGCCAAGTATGATTGTGTAAACTTGGATAAGTTTTAGAGTTTTGCCATACCACATATCGAATAAGCAGTATGTGCCGGCGAATTTATTATGTTAAAAGCTTAAAATTTTCCATTCCAGCATAATTGAATTTTCTTCTATTTTGAATTCGATATAAATGCATTAAGACCACTCCAGTTTCATGTGTTTCATCTAAATTATGATTATTATTATGACTTTCTACATGATTTAGCTATCTGCTAATTTCTTGCTTTTAGATTTAATATATTTTCTTAACTAAATTTAAGTTACATGTTGGTAGCCCCATTGACATTTATACTCCATTTGCCTTCTCCATAGCAGGCCTTGGACATTGGTAAAGAACAAATGGTTGATTTGCTGACGAGGTATGAATCACTAGAACAAAAGACACGAGCCTCAGAATGTTGTAATATATTGTACAAACATGTATCTTTTGTTTTTTATTGATTAAAAAGATGTAAATACGTTTTGATATAGAAGTAAATATATTTTATATGTTTAACATGGTTTTAGACCCGCGGCATCGTGCGGGCTTAGTTGCTTGTGCATCCTATTGCTGTTAAAAATATTTTACGTTATATTAAACGCCCAATTGAACATGGAATTTCATTCAGTCGCTCTTCCATGCATCCTTTGCTTTTTCGGTATTCTAATGCTGATTGGGCTGAGTGTAGAATTTCTTGCTATTTCATGGGCCAAATCATGTCTCTTGAAGCTCCACCAAACAACCCACCTGCCCAAGTGCCCACTCTTGCTTGTGCCGAATCTTTGTGGCTTACATTTGTTCTTCGTAAACTTCGGTATCACGTTTCTACTTCAAGTTTATTGTTTTGTGATAACTA